ATAAAAAGTCTTAGCATTACCTAGCAGATCTAGGAGCAGGCCTTCTGCATCTGAAGCCAGCAGTCAAGCCCCTGACCTACACTTCTCAACCTCTACATTATAATCTGAATGCTCTTTTTAAAAAGTTGGATAACTGCAGGTCTTATACTGAGGTGGTAGATTTCGTATCCTAATGCTTTTATTAGCATTGTGTATAAATACTAAAATGGGAGGGGCAGCAGAGATATAATGACGTTAATACATTTCACACCATTGCCATGCCTCTGCATTTTCACCTGGCTCCAGTTTGAGTTCCAATTTCTGTATTTGCTCAGGGGACTTCATGCACTGTATATCACTGCAAAATTTGGCACAAAGTGCCCATGTCCATTTATTGCTCTCACAGATACCTGACTGTTACAAAAATAGTGTGCTTTTGAAGCATTGCATAACAGCTCAGGCAGATGCAAGTGTCTGGGGGTCTGAAATGATTACCTGTGATATCCATCAATGAGCAGCTGCTGGAAATCAATCCCAAGCTTTCCACAGTTTGCAAAGAGCGAGCACAGGCCTGTCCCCTGGAGAATCGGGGCAACTACCGTGGGCCTTGTACTTTGTGGGCATGCCCCACAGAGCCAGGCCAGCTTTGCATCTGGCTGCTTGCCACCATACCCCCTGCTACCGCATCTGGGCCCTACACAGGCTGATTTGCCCTGGGCCCCGCACCCTGCTACAGTCGTCTCTGAGCATGCAACATGAGAAGTTAAATATGACACAGATCAGCAAATTTAGAGGATAAGCTGATTGTCCAGATGGGGAAAGCCCCAAAAATCAGCATCACAGATCAGTCCCACAGAGTGAGCTCCATCTGCACCATAGAAGCCCTCAAATCCTGGGTAAGCCCTAATAACAAGACATAGCATGATGTAGAAATTGTGCTGTGGACCTAGTGGCAGATTTAGAATGAATCAAATGGATCAGGAGGCCTAGACCCAAACAGAATCCAGGATTTGGCAATGGGAATGGGAACCCCATTTAAAAAAACCTCAGGCATGCCTGGAGCTCTCTGTCTCCATACCCTGAAAATATAACAGCTGTTCTGGAAGCTTGCATATTTTCTTATCTGCACCTCAGACTCTTCCTGAACTCAGGTCTGGTACTTTCCTGCCTAAGAATGCACTGGTTTTTTCCCCAGTAATAACTCCAGTTCTGGACTTTGAAGGTCACCACAACTTTTTCCTGCAGACACCAAGAAAACTGGTCTCTGGTTTCTTGATTTCTTTTAACTCTCCCACTGATGCTTTCATGCATTTGCTGGGGAATTTGAGTTTAGTTCAAGAAGTTAAATAGCAGATGGTTATAGCTGTCCATCAGTCACATTTGGCCATTAACACTTTCCATTGCCCATGTTCTCTATAACTTATTTCCGGTAAAGTCCTTTGCATTTCAGGTGAGCACTTGACTGATATCCTTAGCAGACCTGGGGAAAAATTAGCATATAGTGATTATATACTTAATTTTCAGTGTAGGGGTCTGTGGCCTCAAGTAACATCCGGAGAATCTTTTAAACATTGGCTTACAGCACTACTAAAGTCTTCAAAGGATACCCATCTTCAAGGACCAGGTTGCTGCCCATAGACACAGACCTAACTTCAGTTCATTGTAGAACACGAATCAAGGACCAATAAGAGCATCTGGACACCAGAGAGATTATGTACATACAAGACACCCCATTATAGCCTAGTGTGGAACACCTACCAAATAAGCTCCCAGCTCCACAGCCTCTGCTGAATTCTCAACATGCTTTGAAAGAGAATAGGCTGGTCTAAAGTAGAGGTGGGTGGCACACAGGGCTGTTTTCTGCCAGATTCCTGGTCGTTAGACTGTGCTGTCTAGAAAGGAAAGAGAAGTACATTCTTTTTAAGCATTGGCACAGCTGTGCCTTCTAGGTTCAGGCTGCAGATTTTATTGTGGTTTTGGTTATTTTATATTTTCATTTAAATATTGAAAACAGAAATGCAGTGCAGCATGACAGTTGTTTTGCAAGCTGACAAGGTGTGCTGTAGAAGAACAGCTGTACAGAAGGCTGTTGGAAAGTTTGAAGCTGCAGCTTGTGCTATTGTTCATTCATGATGAAAAGCAACCCCATTACCTCTTTCCTACTGTCTTCAAGTGACCAGCCCTTGTTATACATCAGCATTAGTCTGCAGTCCATGATAGTGATTAACCAGCATTATGGAGTCATTTTAACTGCATCCCTCGTGCTCTTTTCATGGATAGGGAAATGAGATGTAAAAACCGAGCAGGTCATGTCAGAGGAGAGACCGATCACCTTTAAAAACCATAATGAGCCCAAAGGCAGGAGCACTAGGTCTGCAAACTACGCTGCCAGAAATGGATTGAAGCAGGATTATTTTTAGTCTAAACGGGCCCCCATATTCAGTGATGCTGGGTTAGGAATCCTGCACCATTATTCCCTATACTTCCCAACTTGCAATGGTAATCGAAAACATGCCTTTAGCCCAGAGGTTAGCTTTATACGAATTGCTCAACCTAATCCACCGTAGCTTCTGCCTTGTACTAAGGTCTAGTGCCTGTTCTGCCTAAGGAAGAATAGGCCCCTGTTTATGTCAATTTGGTTCCTAAACTCATTTCTACAACTACATGGGTCTCAAGGTTATTGTGACACTATGTTTTTATGTGCTTGATCTTTGCTTACAATGTTACTGAAACATCAGGGAAGCAGTTGCCCTGTGAAAAGATTTGCCAATTAAGAACTGAAGTTATAACAAAGTTATGGACTGTCAGGGGCAATAAGTAGAGAATAGCATAAATCAGCAGTTTTCAGTAAGGGCTCACTTGAGCCTAGGAGGTCTGAGCAGCATTTACTAGTGGCCTGCAGAGATCTGTTTGGTAACAGGATAGTCATCCATAAAAAAGCAGGAAGATCAGAGGAGGAACAAAACTAGCCATTCTTTACCAATATTCAGAGCTAAAGAGAGATAGGGAAAAGATGCGGTCTCAGATACTGAAGACAGCAGAGAATCTCAGCCTTCTCTCTGCCAGGACAGTTTTTCAGTAAGTGCTGCTAAGACTTTATATAATTGTGAATGGAAGAGGAATAGTCTGGGCAATTTGGACAGAATGGGGAAAAGGACAATAAGAGAGGCTTCCAAGAGACATTTTCTGTACCGAGACATGAGCCTCACTGTGAAAATGCTGCCAAATGCCTGGCTGAGGTGAGCTGGTTGATTTTAATTTGCAGACAGACTCTATTGCAGCATTTTAGTGAGCCATGTGTCATTTAGCAGTGCAATTCCTGGAAAGCAGGCATTTATTTTGTACAAAATGGCATCAATAACCTTTAAACAAATTCTCACTTGTAAAGAGAGTTCCCATCCCCATGGTGCCCCTTTCACCCTTTTCTCTAGAAGGTTAAAACTAGGATATCTTTGTATTTAGTTTTAGCAGTATGGTGAACATCCACGTGCATTTTCAACTGGTTAATTGTTACCAACTTGGATCTAGAGGGGATGTTAAAGGATCAGATGGGGGGGGGGGGGGGGGGGGGGGAAAGGGGGGGGGG